TTTTTTACTGACCGGTAACGGGATCGCAACCCTCGGTGTCGCGCCCGTACCGGGGACCGGCAACGGGATCGCAACCCTCGGTGTTGCGCCCGCACCGCGCTCAGCCAGTGAGCGGGAACCGGTCTCCACATGGGATCCGAACCCTCGGCGGGAGCGCCGCCACGCTCCCAAGCGGCGCACTCTCCAGTGTGCCACCAGGCCGGCCCTTATTTATTATTTTTTTAAAGATGACCCGTAAGGGGATCTTAACTCTTGACTTGGTGTTGTCAGCACCACGCTAAGCTAGTGAGCAAACCAGCCATCCCTATATAGGATCTGAACCCATGGCCTTGGTGTTATCAGCACCACACTCTCCTGAGTGAGCTACAGGCCAGCCCTGGGGTGGGGGCTTTAAATAGGCAAGGTCCCCCCATGCCAGAGGATAGGTACAACCTGGCATTGGTCTGCTCTAGATCTTCCATTACTTCCTTTCTGCATTTCGTTGCTCAATCCCTGAAGACAGTTGTCTCCTCCCACTTCTCCCCAGGCCCAGCCTAACCACAGGGGCCCTGGCCCCAGGCAGTAATCCAAAGGATAGCCAGTGTTCTGTGCCAGGTGCTCCGAGGACACAGTCTCCTTCACCTCTCATCCCCATTCCCTGAGGAAGGTGCTATGATTGTATAGTTGAAGAAAGGTCAGGGCAGCAGGGAGGGTAAACTGCTTTTCTGTGGCCTAGAGGAAGCCTTGTGCTCTCCTCAAATTCTCAGCTCTTCCCTGTACGTTTCCTAGTGCAGGAAGTGGAGATGAATTGGCCCCAGGCCCATCCTCCAAGGACAGAAATTGACGACTCAGCATTGATGAATGAGGTTTGAGGAGACCTAATGACAATATTCATGCATTCATTTAGCAGGCATTTAGTGAGCACCTGTTACATGCAGAGTCCTAGAGCTATGGCAGTGGACAGAAGGAACAGAGTCCCCACCAAGCGGGGATAGTCAGAGCAGACTGCAAGGAGTGGCTGGTGGCTGTGGACTTTGAATGGGATGTGGGAGGCTGTGGGAAGGCCTGTACCATCCCCTTTGAGTAGCTTGAAGGCTATCTCAGGACCAGTGCTGGCTCTGTGGTAGAACTGTTGGTGCGAGGCTGCTGGTCAGGCCTTCAGGCTAGAATCTGCCCCTGGGGCCCTTGCCGGGCCTTGGACAGAGCAGCTTCTTTTCTTCCCACAGCCACTCAACCCCAACCCTGACAGCCGGTGGAACACCTACTTCAAGGACAATGAGGTGCTACTGCAGATTGACAAAGATGTACGGTAAGCAGGGCACCCAGGGCTGGGAGCTGGCCAGTGTGACTGCTGGGGGTTTCTGCAGCTCTGTCCTTTCCTTTCCCTGCTCAGGCCCACAAGATGGGTGTTTCAGGAGCTGTGAGTGGATTGTACCAGTAGTTAGGTCCAGGCCCCATTGATGAGAGGCCTGAGAGTGGGGCTGGAGAGTGAAGCGAGTGGGTGGGGATTCCTTACCCATGCCTGGTTTCATTTGTACCCCAGGTGCATGGATCCATCTGATCATTCATTCAACAAGTATTGAGCCTCTACTATATGCCAGTCTCAGTGCTAAGCTCAGGTTGAGCTCTGAGTAGGCAGACATACTCCCTCTCCTTAAGGAACTTAGAGCCTAGAAAGGAAGATGGCAAGACAGACATTCAGCCAATCTGATCTTACGTGCAGTCAGCTCTTGTGAACACTGCAGGAAAAGTTCAGGGAGGCCACGCCTGAGGAAGCAGTGTTTGAGTGGAGATGTGAGAAGGTGGAGGCCTCAGGGAAGAGTGAGGGAAAGTCCGTGGTGGGTGGGGAACTGCCTGTGGGAAGGCCTGGGAGCCCCTGGAGCTTGGCACATTCAAGGAGCAATGAGAAGGCTAGTGTGGGAGGCAGGGGTCGGACCTTGGACTGGATCCCAGGGGCACAGGGCAGTCATGCAGAGATTTAAAACAGAGTGACAGGGTCAGATATGTGTTTTTAAAAAATTGCAAGCTATGATGTGTGCATGCTCTCCTGCTTGGTAAAGAAATGTGGAGGGCTGGCCCCGTGGCGCACTCGGGAGAGTGCGGCGCTTGGGTGCGCAGTAGCGCTCCTGCCGCGGGTTCGGATCCTATATAGAGATGGCCGGTGGGTTGCGGTCACCTTACCGGTCACAAAAAAGACAAAAAAAAAAAAAAAAAAAAAAAGCAGAGATTTAAAACAGAGTGACAGGGTCAGATATGTGTTTTTAAAAAATTGCAAGCTATGATGTGTGCATGCTCTCCTGCTTGGTAAAGAAATGTGGAGGGCTGGCCCCGTGGCGCACTCGGGAGAGTGCGGCGCTTGGGTGCGCAGTAGCGCTCCTGCCGCGGGTTCGGATCCTATATAGAGATGGCCGGTGGGTTGCGGTCACCTTACCGGTCACAAAAAAGACAAAAAAAAAAAAAAAAAAGAAATGTGGGAACGCTGGCTCTGCCACCCTGCTGGGCTGGGGTGTCTGGCAGCGTGTAGGATCTCCCATAGGCTGGCTGAGGCACTAGAAGGAAGGCCTTGTCTGCAGGGCAGCAGAGTGGCTAAGAGCTTGGGTTTTGGAGTCTGTTCGCCTGATTTGTTTCTCCCTTACCAGTTGTTAGCTGTGTGACCTTGAGCAAGTGACTCAGGCTGTCTGAGCATTATTTTCTTCTGTGAATTAGGAGTATGATGGTTCAGGTTCAGGGCATAGAGTGGGGCCTGGATCTACACAGATAAATAGGACTGTCATGCTGGTCCCAGCACTATGCACAGGCCCTTAAAATCATCAGCTCTCCATTAGAGAAGGGTCTTGGGAACTCATCCTCTCCCTTTTACAACAGCCTGCCTGAGTCCTCCTGCACTCTCCTTAGTCAGGCAGGACAAGCCGCTTTCTGTCCCACATGATGACCCTTCAAGTGTTGACAAAGGGCAGCTACCGGGTGCCCAGGTCAGTCTGCACCAATGCAGGCCAGGTGCACGTTCCTTCAGCCGCTTCTCCAGGAACTGCTGAGTGCCTGTGTGAGTAGGAGTTTAGAAGTAAACAAGACCGAAAGGGTTTCTGCCCTCAGAGAGCTTCCAGTTTACGTGAGGAGACGGATATTAAACTTGTAAACAAATACGTAATTGCAAATATTGTACATGCTGTGAAGGAAGAAAAAGCTGGTGCTCTGAAAGAGACAGAGGGGCCCCTGTCTTAGATTGGGGGTCAGGGAAAGCTTTTCTCAGGAGGTGACTCAGCATGAGACTTGAAAGAAGAGGAGGCTGTGGTGAGGCAGAGAGCTGGGCAGAAGAGCTTCCAAGGCTAAGGAACAGCATGTGAGAGTGCCCTGCGGCCTGGGAAGGAGGTGCATGGCAGGATAAAGTCAAGACCATGGGTGCTGCTCAGGCCCATCTTTGGCTGGCCCCAGGGGATCCCAGCACAGGGCGGCTCAGCCAGGCTGCAGGGGAAAGGGAGCTCTTGCTTCCTTTGTTCTCAGGCTGGCGTTGGCGCAGCCTCTACCCACGAGGTGTTCGGATGGCCATGTTTAAGTCAGGAACCATGTCTTGAACCAGGTTCGGGGAAGGGACTGGGGAAACAGGTTCTGTCTTCTACTAGTAGTGATGGTAACATGTTGTTCAGTGTTTTTAGTGGGCAAGTTTGCAATGCGCTGTGTTAGAAGTCTGAAAAATATGCATATGTGTGACACATATTTTTTTTTCCTTTTTTTTTTTTTTTTTCCTTTTTCGTGACCGGTAACGGGATCGCAACCCTCGGTGTCGCGCCCGCACCACGCTCAACCAGTGAGCGGACCGGTCTCTATATGGGATCTGAACCCTCAGTGGGAGCGCCACCACGCTCCCAAGCACCGCACTCTACCGAGTTCGTCACCGGGCCGGCCCACACATATGTTTATTTAAACTTGATCGTGTTCTAGAGACTGTCTCCTAACTGCTTTTTCTTCTCACTCTATCTTGGATGTCCTTCCACGTCAGCTGTATGATGTTCTGCTGTATGTTGCGTAACTTACTTGACCAAACCTCTTTTGCTATTATGAACCACACTACAGTTAACACCCTGTGTATGGTTGATAAATATTTTTGATATGGAAAGATGTTTGTGGTTTAAGAGAAGAGTTAGGTTGTATAATCATAAAGACACTTAAAAAAAGTGTGTGTATCTATTTGCAAATACACATAGAATATGGGCATATATACAAATATGACTTGCTTTTTTTAAAATGGTATTGTTTTTTTAAATAAATGTAGTAATTAAAAACAAACAAACAATGTTTTTTTTTTTTTTTCCTTTTTGTCTTTTTTACTGACCGGCAACGGGATCGCAACCCTCGGTGTTGCGCCTGCACCGCGCTCAACCAGTGAGTGGGAAATGGGATCCGAACCCTCGGCGGGAGCACCGCCACGCTCCCAGGCGGCACACTCCCCAGTGCGCCACCGGGCTGGCCCCCAAACAAACAATGTTTTGGGGGTTGCTTGGGGTCTCCATGGGATCTGAACCCTCGGCGGGAGCACCGCCACGCTCCCAGGCGGCACACTCCCCAGTGCGCCACCGGGCTGGCCCCCAAACAAACAATGTTTTGGGGGTTGCTTGGGGTCTCCTGGCAGCAGGGTGCTGATGGGATGGCCAGAACTCCACCCTGAGTAACAGGATTCTCTCCTGTTCTCTCTTGACAGGAGGTTGTGCCCAGACATATCCTTCTTCCAGAGGGCCACTGAGTACCCCTGCCTCCTCATCCTGGATCCCCAGAATGAGTTTGAGACCCTTCGTAAGCGGGTGGAGCAGACGACGCTGAAATCCCAGACAGTGGCCCGCAACCGGAGTGGGGTCACAAATGTGAGAGCCAACTGGAGGCGCACAGGGACTCCCCTAACAGTCTTTGCCTTCCTGCTTCCCTTGGACCACAGGGCATCAGGCCCATGACCATCTGCCCTGATGGTTACCCAAAGCAACCTTGGTTCTGCCAGGTTGACCTCTGGGGCACTTTCTGGGCGCTGGGTGAGGTTCATCGTCCTCCTGCTGCACCTCCGTCATGTGGAAGAATTGGCTGTGAGAAAGCAATTCCGAGTGTGAGACAGAGTGAGGGGAGCAGTGCTGACGATGAGCACTGACTAATCGGATCAAAAGACTAATCGGGGGGCAAGGAAGTGACACTTAAACTCGAAGAATAAAGAAAGGGCATTCCAGGTGGAGGGGAGGGCACATGCTGGAGTCCTAGCGCAGGAGAGAGCGTAGTGTGTTCCAGCGTGGCGAGGGGAACGCAGAGGGTGCTGGAGGAGGCAGGAGAGGTCAGGGGTGTGGAGGCCACTCAGGGCCTTTGTCCTGGGGACAGGGAACCCCTGCAGTGTTCAGGGCAATGACGTGATTCAGGTCTGTTTTACTAAAAGCTTGCTGTGGGTGCTGTGGAGCTGTAGGAATGGAGGTTCAGAGGCCACTTGGGAGGTGGCTGCAGTCATCCAGGCCAGAGTGGTGGTGGCTGGGCTGGGGTGGAGCTGAGAAAGGTCCGTGAGAGACTTAGGAGGCAGAACTATCAGGACTTGTACTGTGCCAGTCATGTGACATTTGATCTCCTGTCTTCTAGCAAATTCCTGTAACTCTGAGAAATTCCTTGTAGCCCAACAAGTGGATTACCTTGTTCCTTAATTTATACCTACTGCTTTTTTTTTTTTTGACTGGTAAGGGGATTGCAACCCTCGACATGGTGGTGTCTGCACCATGCTCAGCCAGTGAGTGCACGGGCCATCCCTATATAGGATCTGAACCCGCGGCCTCAGCGCTAACAGCACTGCACTCACCCAAGTGAGCCACGGGGCCGGCCCTTATGCCTGCTGCTTTGGTACCTGGCACTGTGACTTGTTCCCCAAAACTTTTCACTGTCTTCTGTCAATGGAAAAACCCTTCTCTGTAGCCTCCAGCAAGCTAGAGACAGACACTATTGCAGGAGCTTTGTTCCCCAAGAGAATAACTTTGATCAAGGCTCTGGCAGGGGCAGCAGGGGGAGATACAGCCCACTGCAGGGTTTCAGATGCCTGTGACAGAGGGGTGTCCAATGGAATAGCCACGAGGAGCAAAATGCTTGGTTACATAACCATGTGGCTCACTTTGTGGGCAGTCCTCGTGGCTGCTATTTCCTGGCTGAAGGGCCTCCTTCATTCCTTTCATTGTAGTGACGGGTCTGAGAGCCAAGCTCTTACCATTTTAACTTTTTGACCTGGTCCTTGTGGCAGAGAACCTATCAGAAACTTCATTGCTACACATCCAGACTTGTGGTTGGGTGGTTTGAATTAAAGTTGACCATCTGTGTGACACTGGGCAAGTAATACGAGGCTCATGTTCATGGGCCTCTGATTCTTTTTCCATAAACTGGGCATAATCATTTGTGCCCTGCCTGGCTTTTGCATTGCCAGGAGGATGAAATGAGGTCATGGCTGTGTAAATTCTTGGAAAACTCAAAAGCACTGGGCATCCTCAACAGGCAGCCTGCCCTAGAGGCCTGACCTGAGGTTCTAGAATCAGCCAGTCTAGGTTCAAGTCCCAGTGCCACCACTTAATGTGAGACATTTAATGAGCCAAATATCTCTGAGCCTCAGTTTTATCATCTTAAAAATGTTGACAGGCCGGCCCGTGTCTCACTTGGTAGAGTGCGGTGCTGATAACACCAAGGCCACGGGTTCGGATCCTATATAGGGATGGCCGGTTTGCTCACTGGCTGAGCGTGGTGCTGACAACACCAAGCCAAGGGTTGAGATCCCCTTACCGGTTGCAATCCGTTGCCGGTCACGAAAAAAGACAAAAAGGAAAAAAAAAATTTATTTTAAATTCTGTGCCAGATAACCCAAATAGCTAAACTTTTTGTAAGTCAATCTCTCATTCTATTTTTTCTTTTTTTTTTTTTTCTTTTGTCTTTTGTCGTGTCCGGCAACGGATTGCAACCCTCGGTGTCGCGCCCGTACTGGACCGGGACCGGCAACGGGATCGCAACCCTCGGCGTTGCTCCCACACCTCGCTCAGCCAGTGAGCGGGAACCGGTCTGTATGTGGGATCCAAACTGACAATCCCTGTACCGGCCAGCAAAAAAAGGAAAAGAAAATGATGTTGAAAGAATATTTTAGGTTGTTCAGAGGATCGAATGGAGGAATGCTTGAACAGCACTATCTGGCACATAGAAAGTTCTCAGTGAATGCTACTGAGGTGTGTGTGTGTGTCTGTGTGCACATATATATGCACACATCTGTATATAGGTAATGGGAGGGGTAGTTTAATGTCCCCAGAACCCTGTGCTTCCAGGAGAGCTTCCTATGCTGTCTCTGCCTGGGTTCTCTTATACAGGTAACCCCACTTCTGGCACTTTTGATCAAGTAGGTCTAGGGCAGAGCCCAGTCACCTGAATATTTACAAAGTTCTCGAGGGATTTGGATGGGCACCTGGTGTTGGGTCCCCTGCTCTGTTGCATGAGTCTTTAGTGGGGGTCATCATCTCTTTGTTCATCTCCTAACCTTTTCTTATGAAAAAATTTAAACATTCAGAAAGTTGAAAGAAGGGTACAATGCACACCTATATACTTTTGCTCTAAATGCAACAATCATTAACATTTTGTCATATTGCTTTATTTGTGTGTGTGTTATATATAAAGACAGTAGTTGCAGGTGCCTGACCTTCACCCCCAAGTACTGCAGTGGGCACTGGGAATAAGAGCATCCTTCTACTTAGCACTAGCACATCTAAGAAGATTAACAATAGTTCCATAATATCACCTAATATCCAACCCAGGATCAATTGAGATCAGTTGAGATGTCCTCAGTTGTGCCAGGAATATCTTGACTGTTTTATTCCAAGTCAGGATCCAGTCAAAGTTTCTGGCTTGCGTAGGGTGTTATGTTTCTTTAGTCTCTTGATTTAGAACAGGCCTCCACTTCCCACCCCCGTCCTCCCCCACAGCAGTTGACTTTGAAGAGTCTTGGCCAATCATCTGTTTTTGACATATTTAAAGGTTTTTGTTTTAAATTGAAGTATAACTTATGTGCAGTAAATGCACAAATTTTAAGAACACAATTAGATAAATTTTTTCTTATGTGTACACCTAAGTAACTGCCAGTCAGTCAAGATACAAAACATGTCCATCATCCAGAAAGTTTCTTCACGACTGTTCTGGTCGGTACCCTTCACCTCAGAGGTAGCCGCTATTCTGGTTTTTATCGCCCTAACTAGATTTTAGTCTTGTACAATAGCTGGAAGTTAAGGCCAGGCTTAATGGTAAACATTTCTGGCAAGAACACATTGTCCCTCTTAATGGGCTCCTCCTCTTCCCCAGATGAGTTCCCCACACAAGAATACTGGGCCGTCATCCCTGAATGAGTACGAGGTGCTGCCCAACGGCTGTGAGGCCCACTGGGAGGTGGTGGAGCGGATCCTGTTCATCTATGCCAAGCTCAACCCTGGCATTGCATATGTGCAAGGCATGAACGAGATCGTGGGGCCCCTCTACTATACTTTTGCCACCGACCCCAACAGCGAGTGGAAAGGTAAAAGGGCTCAGGCTGCCGGTGTCCCTCGCTGCTGGCCCTAGAGCAGTGGCCGAGGCTGGAGGGCTGGCGGGGCTCAGGCCGTGCAGCGTGCTTCCCCTTGTGGGCCTCCTTTCTCTCTCTGTCAGGTGGGGCTGGCCTACATCATCTCTAGGACCCTTTCTGGCCCCAGCCTTCTAGAATGTTGGATGTTTACTGATCTCTTGATATTTGTAACTTAATTTCTGGTAGAAGAGATGAGATGTGTATACAAGAAGCTGAGTGATATAGATTTAAAATGTCACCAGGAGAGCATGCCATAAATCGCTAAATGAGTGTATAGTGTTGCCAGAAGATGTGGGAAGAGAGATGACGTCCTTACTCTGGGGGTGGAGAGGGGTCAAGGACAGAGGGAGGACTGGGCCCGACTGTGAGGGTGGGGCAGTGTGGTGGGGCTGGGGGGATGTCCCCCAGGTTGGGCTGGGCCTCCAGAGCACCTCTTCCCCTGCCGACTCTCCCAGAGCACGCTGAGGCAGACACCTTTTTCTGCTTCACCAACCTCATGGCCGAGATCCGGGACAACTTCATCAAGAGCCTGGACGACTCACAATGTGGCATCACCTACAAGATGGAAAAGGTGTACTCCACCTTGAAGGAGAAGGACGTGGAACTCTACCTGAAACTGGTAAGGACTCCAGGACCACATGGGTAAGGACAGATGGCAGAAAGGGGCACAGGACAGGTTCCAGAGCAGCCCAGACCCAGGGTGAGGTCTGGCTTGAGTCTGGGGGTTGAAAGTGGCTGCTGCTGCCGCCACTGCCACACAGTGACATACGTGCTGAGGCAGGCCTGGGACCCCCGAGACCCAGGGCAGGGGGGCTTTGAGAATCGTACTAATGTGCACTAGGCACAGTGCGGGCGTTTACCGTACGCCACGCTAGTTAAGCCTGTTATTAGTCTTCTGAGATGAGTATTAGCTTCATTTATTTTGATTTTTTTATTGAAATGTATTGATTATCCATATTTGTGGGGTGTACAGTTCTGTTTCAATATATGTATACAATATGTGATGATCAAAGTAATGAGCATATTCATTACAAAACTTCATCATTTCTTTATGATGAGGATGTTTGATCTTCTCACTTCTCGCCATTTGATAACATGCAGAAGATTATTGTTAATTATACATGCTTACCTTGACTGTGCACCAAGAGAACTTATTTTTCTTATCTAGCGGTTTTGTGTCCGTGAACCAGCCGCTCACTGTCCTCCCCCTTTCCCTTTCTCACCTCTGGTAACCACAGTCCTGCTCTCTCCTCTGAAACTTAAATATATAGATAGATAGATTGATTGAATGATTGATTGATTGCTAGCTCCCACATATGAGTGAGGATGTGGTATTTCTCTGTGTCTGAGTTATTATTTTTTTTTTTAAAGATGACCTGTAAGGGGATCTTTTTTTTAAAAAAAGATGGCCGGTAAGGGGATCTCAACCCTTGACTTGGTGTTGTCAGCACCACGCTCAGCCAGTGAGTGAACCAGCCATCCCTATATGGGATCCGAACCCGGGGCCTTGGTGTTATCAGCACCACACTCTCCCAAGTGAGCCACGGGCCGGCCCCATGGTAAGGGGATCTTAAAAACCTTGACTTGGTGTTGTCACCACCGCACTCTCCCAAGTGAGCTAACCGGCCATCCCTATGTAGGATCCGAACCTGCGGCCTTGGTGTTATCAGCACCACACTGTCCCAAGTGAACCACGGGCCAGCCCTGTGCCTGACTTATTTAAACTTCACACATAATTTTCTCCAAGCTTATCCATGCTGCTGCAGATGGCAGAATTTCATTCTTTTTTACAGCTGAGTATTATTCTATTGTGTATATAAAACACATTTTCTTTATTCCAACTGTCAGTTAATGGATTGACTTCTTTTTTTTTGTTTGTTTTTGTCTTTTTCGTGACCGGTAAGGGGATCACAACCCTTGGTGTGGTGTCACCCGCACCGCGCTCAGCCAGTGAGCGCACTGGCCGTTCCTATATAGGATCCGAACCCGCGGTGGGAGCGTCGCTGCGCTCCCAGCGCCGCACTCTCCCAAGTGCGCCACGGGGCTGGCCCGGATTGACTTCATTTTTTTTTTTTTTCCTTTTTTTTTGTCTTTTTTACTGACCAGCAACGGGATCACAACCCTCGGTGTCGCGCCCGTACCGGGGACCGGCAACGGGATCACCGTACCGGGGACTGGCAACGGGATTGCAACCCTCAGTGTTACGCCCGCACCGCACTCAGCCAGTGAGCGGGAACCGGTCTCCACATAGGATCCGAACCCTCGGGGGGGGCGCCCCCCC